CACGCTGTGGCATCAGAATGTTATTTCTTTCCACAACTAAGACGTATTCCAGTGTGAACTGTCTTAACCATCTACTGCTACTCTAACAGGGATACCATATGTTTCTGGCTTTCACAAACAGAAACATATTCTCTCACAGTTTAGGAAGCGAGAAGTTCAAACTCAAGGTGTCGCTGTGGGGTCTGGAGGAAGGTCCTTGATTCATTCCTTCAGCATCTTCAGGCCTGGCAATCCTTGGAGGTCTCCAAGTGTCTTGGCCTTTGTGTGTCAAGGAGCTTCCCAACACAGAGGTCTGGATCCACAGGAAGAGCCTTTCTTGGTAATACTGGGATCTCCTATCTCTACTCTATTTTTCTCTCCTTTTATCTTTTGGGAGATAAAAGGAATTGCAGCTTACACCCCAGGGAAATACCCATTACACAGATTGTGACAGAATTAAGGGCTTTGCAATCCAGTCTCAAACATTTCACAGCTGCTTTATCAGATCATAGGGAGTCATGACAGAGCTCGCATGTGACACACTTACATGTATGAGTTTCAGGAGGACGTGACTGAACCCATGACAAGTGTGGGCACGCGTGCTGCCTGTCCATCCGCCTGTGGAGCGCTGTCTTGGTTGTCTCGACCTTCAGCCTTTACTGAAAGATGCTCCAGTGAACACGGGTGGACAGGCTTCCATTTGCGTTCCTGCTTCTAAACCTTTTAGGGAGAGACCTAGGAACAGAACAGCAAGATTGTATGATAGATGTAAGTGTCATGGAAAGAGACCCTGGTGGTGCAATGGTTAAGTATTCAGTAGTGAAGCAAAAAGTCAACGTTCTGAACCCACCGGCCTCTGAGTGAGTGGAAGGAGGGGGTGCAGTGGTCTGTTTCTGCAGGGTTATAAAAACAAAACCCAATCCAACCCTTCTGGCTGCCCTTTGGTGACGTAATCTGTATGGAATTGCATTTCTAACCCCAAAGTGGTGCCTTTAGATGGTTCAAATCCACCAACACCTCTCTGCAAGAAGGATAGGTAATCACCTCCTGTGCGATTTACAGCCTCAGAAACCCCAGTGGAGGCTCAGCCACAAGTCCATTCCGACTTGACAGCAATGAGTTTTAAGTTTTTGTGTTTTCATTGGGCCTCCAAAGCTATACATCTTAACAGGAGGTGACCACCCATCTTTCTGCTGAGGAGTAGCTGGTGGATTTGAACAGCCAACCTTACAGTTATCAGCCTGACGCATTACACACTATGCCACCAGGGCTCTTGGAAACCCTCTAAGGTCACTATGAGTCAGTGTCACCTCCATAGCAATGGGTTTCTTTCATTTAAGGTCCATGTAGGGACCTGAGGGTCGGGGTGACCAAGTGCTGGCCCCTGAGTGGCTGCAGGGGTGGGGTCCTTGCCCCACCTCGGGCCCCGCCCCCTGACATCACTGTCACATTATTGCATGAGGACCGATTGGCCAATAAGCCGCTGCTTCCTATTATAATGGGTCCTAGCAACAGGGCCTGACCTTGGCTAACAAGGAGGAGGCCCCATCAGCAGGGAAGAGTGAGAGGGGAGAGGGCGAGCCTTCAGGCCAGGTAAATCCCCATAGAGCTGGCCAGCTGGGCCTTGCTGTCCTAACTCCACTGCCCTCAACTGCAATTCTACCCCGACTTCTGGCCACCAACTCAGCACCTGGCTGGTGGATCCTGTCCCAGGCCACCCTTCCTCCACGAGGTCTCAGGCTGAGATGGATTTGGAGGAGAGAGCACGGTGATGGGGGCGGTGCAAGGAAGGCAGAGTTCTACAAGGTGGAGTGGGGAGGAGATGAGGGGGTACAGGGGCGAGGCATGGCAGGAAGCTGAAAGGACACAGCTCCCTTGTGGGGCTGAAGGAGCCCAGGGATCTTGGTTTGACTGACACAGTGGTTAAGCACTCAGCTGCCAGCCAAAAGGTTAGGAGTTCAAACTCGGCAGCCTGTGAGTGGATGAAAAATACTAGGTCATTAGAAGTGACCCTCCAGGGGCTTCCGAGAGTGTGTCACACAGGAGGAGATGCCTATCTTCCTCCTGCAGAGCTGCGGGTGGGTCCTCCGCGGTGGAGCTGACCTGACTGAAAGTAAGTCCACCAGTCAGATTAGAACTGCGGGAGCTGGGGGCTCGAGCACGTGAGGCCGAGAGTGAGGCCGGTCCAGGGCAGACATAGGCTTAGGGGGTCATTCTGAGTCACAGGTGACTCGACGGCACCTAAAACAGTAACAACACAGACTTTTCAAGACTGCACATCAGACGGCTACGGTTTTCACTTGCAGAGCCTCTAGTGAGTCTGAACAACCAACCCCTTGGTTGGCAACAGCAGCCGGGCGCTTTAACCACCACACCACCATGGGTTTTCACACTCTAGGGGAGGTGTTCTACGCTGTCCAGCAGGATCCCTACCAGTCAAAAGTGACTCCGACAGCAGTGTTTGGGTTGGTTTTTTCAGTCTGGTTTCAGTTGGTTTTTTCAGTCTGGTATCCCCATTTTACAGAAGAGAAAAGTCAGGCGGAGAGCCGTTTAGTAACTTGCTCCAAATCACTCGATAAGCAAGTGGGAGATTCAGGATTCGAACCCAGGAAGCCTGGTGCCAGGGTCTGGGATGCACCATTATTACCTTATGCTATCTCTCAATAACATCTTCATAAAAACCAAACCTGCTGCTGGTGAGCCAATTCCAGCTCACAGTGACCTTCTACTGGGGTTCTGAGGCTGTAAATCTCTATGGGGGGATTGCCCATCTTTCTGCTGGGGAGCTGCAGGTGGACTCAAACTGCTGGAGACATGCAGCCTTTGCCTTAGCAGCGCAACATGCTATGGACGACGCCAGGGGCCCTCTGCTATACAGAACTGGTGACAGTTTGTGGGAATCTCTTGTTTGAAAAGGAGCCTTGGTGGTGCAGTGCTTAAGACACTTGTTTGCTAAGCTCAAGGTCAGTGGCTGGAACCCACCAGTCAGACAAGATGAGCCAGTTTGCTTCTGGAAAGATTTACAGCCTTGGAATCCTAGAAGGACAGCTCTGCTCTGTCCTATGGGATTGCTACAAGGAAAACCTTCAATGAGCTGGACTGACACAGTGATTCAAGGACGGGCTCCCACCCTGCAGTGACTGGGAGGAGGAAACTGCCGCACAGAGCTGTGCTCTGTTATGCGTTGGGGCCATCAGGGTCCTACAAGCTGCAATCTTCTTTACAGCAGCGGGTTTCCTTGTTTGTTCTTTTTTTTTTTTTAAAGGGGATGGCTTGAGAGTTTCCAACAGCAGAACATTAAACATGTTGCTGTTTTGTGTGCCACTGAATCAGAACCAACTCATAGCAGACCCTCCAGCAGGTTTTCAGAGGCAGTAAATCCCATGGGAGGAGACAGCCCATCCTCTCGCGGAGCAGCTGGTGGGTTTGAACTGCATGCCTTTGAGGCTGCAATCTAGCTTCTTACTGGACCACTGGAGCTCCATAAACTGGGATCCTTCTAAATACAGGTCTCTGAGCGACTCACCAGTTACACCACAAACTCCTCACAGCACCTCAAGAGGCAGACCTCATTACACCTGTTACCTAGTGAAGCAAAAAAGGCTTAGAAAGGGAACTCTTTTTGCCCCAGGTCACTGTCACAGCTGGCAACAGACAGAAAATGCGAATTCTCCCAGTGACCAGTCCTGTAGGACTCGTGTCTGAGTAGAGCTGTGCTCCAGAGAGTTTTCAGCGGCTGATCACTCCAAAGTAGACTGCCAGGCCTTTCTTCCTAGGTACCTCACTGTGAATGGGAGCCCAGGAGCCCTGGTGTAGTAGTTTGTAACTTATCAGATACAAAGATCAGCAGTGCGAATCCACCAGCCATGCCCTCCCATAGACTTCACAGCCTCGCACTGAGCTAAGCATGTTAAACTCACTGCCATAGGGTGGGAACCGACTACTCACAGACAAACCTCTACTGAGTTTCTGAGGCTGTAAATTGGAGGAGTTATGGTGCTGAAGAAGAGTACTGATCTGCCAAGAGAACAATAGGTCTGTCCTGGAGAGGGCGAAACCAGCCTGCTCTCTGGAGGCTAGGATTTTTTTTTTTTAAATTTAGGTTATTTTTCATTTCAATGAACATCTACAGAGATTTTGGGATTCCATTCATTCACTGTTGCACCATTCTCCCCGCACAAACCCCTCCCCCCCATTTGCTCCTCTCCTTGAAAAGCAAAAGAAAAACTCCCTCATTGGTACACAATCCCCGCCCCGCACCTCCCCAAACCCCACCCCCTACCCCCAAATATAATCCACTCTGAAACCCTCATTGCATATTCCTACGATAAAAATAATGCCCTAAAATATAATACTTTTAGACTATTCTCTCCCCCATAGACTTCAATGCCGTAAACATATTTCATCCAGTTTTTCTCAGTCTTACCCCCACCCCAATGCCAGAGGCTAGGATTTTGAAGCTCTGTCTCACATACTCTGGGCAGGAGGGACCAGCCCCTGGAGAAGGACATCCTGCCCAGAAAGGTGAAGGGACAGTGCAGGAGAGGAAGATCCAGGATAAGATGGATTGACATGATAACTGGGGCAGTGGGGATAGGTATTCTGGAGTCAGTGGGATGGGCTCAGGACAGGAAAGGTTTCAGAGCTACTATCCATAGAGTTGCTATGAGTCACAGGCAACTCGTCAAGTAACAACAAATTGCACGGGAGGAGATGGTCCATCTTTCTGTGGATTCGAACTGGTGCAATGTCGGAATGGCGAAACCCTTAAATTTTCATTTGCAACCTTCGGGGAATCTAATAGGTGTCTCCATCCGGCCAAAAACATAGCCTGGGAGTTGAAGTGGTGAGGGCTGTGGGATCTCAGGGTCCCAGGCTGACTTCCTCCATCCCTCCACCCCCTACACCATGTCTCTCCCCAAGGTCCAGGAGGCGCAAACCTCTCCCCTTCTCCCCACAGACGCCGAGGACCACGCGTCCTGTGACTCCCCCCTCCCCTCCCCCCCCCAGCGCTGGCCACCATGGCTACGTCGAAGCCGCAGGCAGTGCCCAGGGAGGAGGAGACCACCATCCTGATGGCCAAAGAAGAACTGGAGGCGCTGCGTACCGCCTTCGAGTCGGGCGACCTGCCCCAGGCCGCCTCCCGCCTGCGCGAGCTGCTGGCCTCGTCCGAGTGCATCCGCCTGGAGGTGGGGGTCACCGGGGAGTCGGGTGCTGGCAAGTCGTCCCTCATCAACGCCCTGCGCGGCCTGGGCGCTGAGGACCCAGGTGCCGCGCTCACCGGCGTTGTGGAGACCACCATGCAGCCGTCGCCGTACCCGCACCCCCAGTTCCCGGACGTGACCCTTTGGGACCTGCCGGGCGCCGGCTCCCCGGGCTGCTCCGCCGACAAGTACCTGAAGCAGGTGGATTTCGGCCGCTACGACTTCTTCCTGCTGGTGTCGCCGCGCCGCTGCGGGGCGGTGGAGAGCCGCCTGGCTGCCGAGATACTGCGCCAGGGCAAGAAGTTCTACTTCGTGCGCACCAAGGTGGACGAGGACCTGGCGGCCACGCGCAGCCAGCGGCCGTCGGGCTTCGCGGAGGCGGCGGTGCTGCAGGAGATCCGCGAGCACTGCGTGGAGCGCCTGCGCGCAGCGGGCGTGTCCGACCCGCGCATCTTCCTGGTCTCCAATCTGTTCCCGTCGCGCTACGACTTCCCGCTGCTCATGTCCACCTGGGAGCACGACCTGCCCGCGCACCGGCGCCACGCCGGGCTGCTGTCACTGCCGGACATCTCGCTGGAGGCCCTGCAGAAGAAGAAGGACATGCTGCAGGAGCAGGTGCTCAAGACGGCGCTGGTGTCCGGGGTCATCCAAGCGCTTCCGGTGCCGGGGCTGGCGGCCGCCTACGACGACGCCCTGCTCGTGCGCTCGCTGCGCGGCTACCACCGCAGCTTCGGCCTGGACGACGACTCGCTGGCCAGACTGGCCGAGCAGGTGGGCAAGCAGGCGGGCGACCTGCGCTCAGTCATCCGCTCGCCGTTGGCCACCGAGGTGTCCCCGGAGACGGTGTTGCGGCTCTATTCGCAGTCGTCGGATGGCGCCATGCGCGTGGCGCGCGCCTTCGAGCGCGGCATCCCCGTGTTCGGCACGCTGGTGGCCGGCGGCATCAGCTTCGGCACAGTGTACACCATGCTGCAGGGCTGCCTCAACGAGATGGCCGAGGACGCCCAGCGGGTGCGCATCAAGGCCCTGGAGGAGGACGAGCCGCAGCCTGAGCTCAGCCTGGAGGCGGCGGGCGACGGGGGCGCGGAGAAGCGGGGGGCTGGGGAGGGCGGCGGCGAGGAGGCCCCGCTGTCTGCGCGGCGGAAGCTGGGCCTGATCCTCAAGTACATTCTGGACAGCTGGAAGAGGCGGGACTCGGAGGAGAAGTGAACGCCTGCAGCCCCGCCCCCAAACCAAGCCTTTAATACAACTAACTGAACCAATGGGATTAATAAAAGACCAGTGCGATAAAGAATGGGGGCTCTTATCTGCCTGGTGGGAAGGGCATGGAGGCTCAAAAGGGCCCGGGGGGCGGGGGAGGTGACAGAGTGAGTTATCTTTTGGGGAGGGCAATGAAGTGAGGTGCACGAGAGGGCAGCTGAGCCTCATCTGAGAGGGACGTAATGGGGAGAGGAAGGGACCATGGGGGAGGAGGGTCAAGGTCTGGATGGTGGTGGACAGAGGGCTCTTTGATCACGTCTCCCTGCCTGGATACCAAGTGGTCAGAGGATTGTACGAGGGCAGGGTAGCCTAGCCTGGTTCCCAGACTGTGGGAGATGAGGGGGCGCAAGGGGGCATAAAGTCTCTTTTAGGGCTTCATGTAATTTCCTGAGGACCTTTCCACCACCACCTCCAAAAGGCCCTCAAATGGTGCCTGGGCATGGCACAAGGACCCCTTCCAGCTGGAGTGAACTAGGTGGGAGAGGGCAGGCGCTGGGAGAGGGGCGGCCAGAGGGCCACTGGGAGTTTAGGGGGAAACTGAGTGAGAGTGGGGATGGGGGCACCCTTGCATCCAAAAGTGGAGCGGAGTGACCTGGACCTGGATGCTGGGAGCGTCTCAAGTGATTTCAGGTGAGCCTGTGGGGAGCTCACTGAGTGGGGCAAATGGTTTAACTACTCAGCAGCTAACCAAAAGATGATGGTTTGAAGCCACCCAGAAGTGCTCTGGAAGAAAGGCCTGGTGACCTACATTTGCAAAAGCACTAACAGCCCTGTGGTCTACACTGGCACATGTGAGATTAACCGAGTCAAAAATGACTCGGGTGTATGTGAGAGTGTGTGTGAGTGTGTGTGTGTTGGGGAGGAATCTGGTTGCATCCCCATGGGTTTGATGCTGGGAAGTGGGAGAGGTGGATCTAAAATGCTGAGCCACTGACAGCCTGGGCCCACTTGTTTCCAGGCAGCGGTGAATGTACGTGTGTGTGTGTGTGTGTGTGTGTGTGTGTGTGTGTGTGTGTGTGTGTGTGTGTGTATCTGGGAACTTACACGCCAAGGAAACCCAGGGGGGCCGAGAGAGGGTGACTGGGTGCATCTGAGGGCTGCAGATGTCTGCAAGTGAATAGGGTGCTGCACAACATGATAGGTGAAGTTGAGCTCTGTGCTGTGCCAAGTCTGATGTTCCAGAACCTTCTGTGAGGAAAGCAAGACGAACCATGTCCTTAGACCTTCCCAAGCTGAACTCACCTGCTGAGTCAAATGCCAGACACGTTTGCAAAATTAGAGAACTAGCAGATTGAGAGGTCTGGACTGGGCAGAGGTGTCCCAGAGCTTCTGTGGGGGTGGGCTTTGTGAGGGGTGGGCAGGGATCAGAGAAGAAGGCTTCTTGGGGAGGCAGCATTTAAAAAGGGCCCTTAGGGTTGAGTTTACATGCAAAGAAAGTTGTGTTTCAAGGTAGAGGCAAGGGGCAGAGGTCAGAATGGGGCAGAATGTGGGCTGGGAGACACAGGACGGCCTGGTGGGATGTATGTGGGAATAGGCAGAGGGGCTAGGTGGGCAGGTGTATCCTGAAACTTAGTGGGGGCAGGAGGAGGAAGCTGATTGGACACACAATATGACAGTCAATAGGACAATTACCCAGAAACAGGAAAAAAGAGATCTTGCTTCTGAGCTCAGAGTCTAACTTTAGCAATGAGGCAGCGGTGGCGAGTGGGAGAACGGCTGCCTTTCATGTGGGGGACCGACCTGGGTTTGAATTCCAGCCAAAGCACCTCTCACACAGCCACCACCCAGCCGCCAGAAGAGATTTGCATCTTTGAACAGGCTTCAGGGGAGCTTCTAGATTGAGGTAGACTAGGAAGAAAGGCCTGGTGATCTGCTGGAAACTAGCCAGTGGAAACCCTACAGTGATCAGGGGAACCCCCTTGGCTGGGCAACCCTGCAGTGGTCAGGGGCAACCCCGGCCGTGAAATCCACTAATGGTTGAGGCAACCCTGGCCATGAGGATGGTGCAGGAGAGGTGGCACTTAGTCCAGCTGTGCACAGGGTCACCGTGTGTCAGGTGTGACTTGATGGCAGTTGAAGCAATAGCTGAGACGGCTCAGTTTGCGAGCTCAGATCTAAGGAGGGAAGGAGGAAGGTGGTGGGTGGAAGAACTGACCAGTGTCTGGGCAGAGGCGTCCAGCGTGGGTGGGCGCAGGAGGTCCATCTCTCAGCTAAAGCACCAGAAGGTCAGCAGTCTGACCTATGCCTCCCTCTGGGGTGTTCCTGCATGCTTGGTGTCAAGGGGAAGAGGTGCCCTGACCATCTTAAGGGGACCAGTGACAGGTATAGAGTCTGCTCCCAGGTTTACCTACCTGCCTCCCACATGGAGCTGCATAATTAAACACATTCAGATTCTTCACTGGGGAAGATGGGGGTCCAGGATGCAGCCTGGTTGTTTAGTTTGGAAGAAACCAAAGTCTGTGAAGACCATGAGAAGGCTCTGGATTGTCAGGCAAACAACAGACATATCTGTGAGGTGAATGATGATGCCAGGGAGGCACTTAGTCCTGCGAACAGTCAACCAGGCATGATCAGAAGGGCAGCACCTGCCGAGGGACAGACCGCGGCAGGCAAGGAGAGGAGGGAGGATGAGTGGAAACGAGGCCCGCAGGGGGGTAGTGGGCAGGGTGCTATTTCAACGTGAATCGTGGAATCAATGATGCAAAGTAAAATGCATGTGGATGCTCTGAGCCAGGTACCAAGCTGCTCTGAAAAATGTCAAGCAAATTACAATCAAAAGTCTTTGTTGGGGCTTTTTTTCATGTTTATGAATTTATTTTTAGTAACAAGAGAGAAGAGAAAGTTAGGTTATTAAAAATCTGTTGTCTTGGGAGGGACTGGAGAGCATTATGATGACTGAGCTAACTCAGTCCCACAAGGACAAATACTGTCTAAAACCATCATTGTAGAATGAGTATGAGGATCTAACGGGGGGAGGGTAGAAGTGGTGGTGTGTTAATCATAGGGTTGCACAGATCCATGGGTAGGGCGGTGAAGGAAATGGGAAGGATCTGTTGTGGAAAACAATGTATTCAAATTTTGTAAATAAATCAGTATAAATTTTTTCCCTGTCCTTATCTTTTTTCTCAATTTTTTATTATTAATTTTAATGAAAATTTACCGAGACTTTGGATTTCCATTCATTCATTGTTGCACTTTTCTCCCTGCCCACCCTTCCCCCTCTGGTTTACTCTTCTCTTTGAAAAGTAAAATTCTTTCACTGTTTTACAAACCCTCCCCCCAGGTCCACTCCACTAAGCAGCCTTCGCTCTAGACACCTGCCATGACAAAAATACCTAATCACATATCCCTTTTCAACAGTTCTCGCCCTCATCTGTTTCAGTGCAGTATACATTATTGATCCCATCTTTCTCAGTCTCTCCCCAACCCTGATGTCAGTCCTGTTTTACAACAGTGGCACCATGCAGTATTTGTCCTTTTGTGACTGAGATACTTCACTCAGCATAATGTCCTCCAAGGTCACCCATATTGAATAATATTTCATGAGTTCCTTGTTTTTCAATGCAGCATAGTAGTCCATTGTGTGACTATACCACAGCTTCTCTATCCATTTGTTTGTTGATGGGCATTAGGTTGTTTCCAACGCCTTGCTATTGTGAACAAAGCAGCAATAAAAATGGGTGTGCATATATCTTCTTGGGTGGCAGTTACGGTCTCTTTGGGGTATATTCCCAGTAGTGGAATTGCTGGGTCAAACGGTATCTCTATTTGCAACTTTTTGAGAAAGCGCCATACTGCCTTCCACAGTGGTTGCACCATTCTACACTCCCACCAACAGTGAATAAGGGTTCCAGTTTCTCCACAACCTCACCAGTAGTTGTTGCTTGCTGTTCTGTTAAATTTTGCTATTCTGACTGGGGTGAGATGATAGCTCATAGTTGTTTTTAATTTTTTTAAAAAATTCAACATATTGCAGAAAAACAGAAGAAAAAAAATCAGTTGTCACAAGCCAGGGCTATGTATAATCAGAAGTTTAAAAAATAAGTTTAAAGAACAACAAAAAGAAGGTTCTGGAGGATGTGTAGGAAGATGGGAGTGACTGGGGTACAGGGTTGTGGGGACTCTAGTGTCCTCCCTGAAGATACTTCCTAGATCAGTGACTGTCCAACTAGACTCCTTAGCCCTGACTCTAGCAAACAGCTCCAGACTGAAAAATGGATGATTTTGTTAGGTGCCGTCACATCAACTCATGGCAACACTGTGAACAAGGCTGAACCTTCCTGTGTCCTGTCCTCCTTCTCCACCTGCCCAAGCCCAGGGTTTCATTCGCGGTGTTAATCCGTGTTATTGAGGGTCTTCCTCTCTTTCTGACCCTGCACTTTCTCAGCATGAGGTCTTTATCCAAGGACTGGTCCCTCCTGAGAACATGCCTCCAGAATGTGGGATGAAGCATCACCGTCCTCGCCTCTAAGGAGCACCATGGGTGCATGTCCTCCGAGACAGACTTGCTTGTTCTTTTAGTAGTCCATAGGATAGTCAGTGCTCTTCTCCAGTACCACAGTTCAAAGGCATCAGTTCTTCTTCTGTCATCCTTATCCATTGTCCAGCTTTCAGCTACATAAGAAGCAATTGAAAATATTGTGGCTTGGATCAGGTGCACCTTAGTCTTTAAACTTATATACTTGCACTTTAACACAGTGGAGTGGTTCTTGACAGCAAATGTGTCCAATGCAAAATGTATTTTACCCATCAACAAACAAATGGATAGAGAAGCTCTGGTATGTTCACACAATGGAATACTATGCAGCATTGAAAAACAAGGAACTCATGCAATATTATTCAAAATGGGTGACGCTGGGGGCCATTATACTGAGTGAAATATCTGTCCCAAAAGGACAAATGTTGCATAGGGCCACTGTTGTAAAATAGGACTGACATCAGGATTGAGG